GTGAAAGAGGATTTTCCAGTGCAGGCACCTATGGAGAATGTTTTGGCTGGACAAGTAGGTCACGAGTCGCAAAATGAAAATACTCATCAAAAGGTCCAAGCAGAAATTGTAGAAACAAAGCCAGCTGTTGCTTCAGCAAAAGAATCTTTGAGGTCTATGCCTAAAACTACCCTTGAGAAGATGCCTGATCTGCCTAAAATGCGAAGTAGTGATGATAGGAGTCATTTTGCCCGTGCTTATCTCTCTAAGCTGGACATTTCAACAGAACTTGCCAGTCCAGAGTTGTATAGCCAATGTATGAGTTTGCTCAGCATGGAGCAGGGTGCAAATGCTGATGAAGATATTGTTATGCTTGTAAACTTAAAGGCAAGAGACTCTATTTGTCATGCACGGCCTTGTATGTGTATGTGTACCTTGTTCTGTTTATAATTTATTTTTATGCTATTGTGATGTGACAGGATGGTGCAAGAGCAGTGCCAAAAAGTTTCAATTCCATTTTCAGCCTTTCACTTCTTCCTGCCACAAAAGATTCTGTTTTTCAGGTAAAATCATTAGGGATTATATAACAAATTATTTGTGATTAGTCTGTGCATGTTTGTGAATCTAGTCATGATCAATTGGAGTCATTTGAAGAAGCACGGTGATTTTTTTTTTTGTGACCTTCTATCTCCTTATTTTTGCTTGAGGGAAATTACCAGGATTTCCTACTTGTTAAGTGGAAGCAAAAATTGCATAGGCGTTTAGTTAATGAGAGTTTGCAGCTTGTGATGCCTACCTTTCTTTTGCTGCTAATTACGATTGCTAGATCTGTTTTTTTCCAACCCATGCATAATTATTGTTCATATACAGAAAATATCTTTCAGATATACAAGTCATCTTGCCACTGTGTTAATGAGGAAAATGTGTATTTCTATTGAGATCTGGTAAAAAAATATGGGAGAGATTGGATGTAGGATAATAACCAAAGGAATGGATGGTATATAAAGCATGATCTAATGGATTTGGGCTGCACTTCTTTTTGTTGGTGTTGCAACATTGGCATATCGCTGTCATTTCCAATCTGATCCTGTCTGACTGCAAACAGTATTTGACATGGTCTTAACTTTATTTTTCATGTTATGCTTCTCAATTGTTTTTTGATTAATTCTTCAGTGCCAATTCTTTCACTCTGACATTCTGGTTCCTTCCTTGCAGAGAGCCATGGATTACTACAAGAAGGAGAGAGTAGGTCTGAGTGGCTTGCCAATTGTTAATGGTGGAACAATAAATGCTATTTCAACTACCAAAGTAAAAGATGAGCCTATTGATGATGGGCATAAAGCAGAAGAACCGGTTTTAAATCAGGATGAAGAAATGCATGATGTTCCAGAGCTGAATTTAGATCAGAAGAAAGCTGAAGATGTTCCACCTGCTGATACCCATGAGGAATCAGTAGAACTTGTTTCGAAGGATTATGCTGAGGCTTGCACCCCCTCCCAGGATTTTCCTGATCAAGCTCTTAGTCAAGATAATCTGGAAAAGCCTGTAGAAATTCATAGTGGTAATAAGATTGATGGGGTGCCATCTGAGCCGGGCAATTCAGAAGGTGTAGAGGGAAGCATCCCAAGCCCTGATAATGCATCCCAAGCTTCCTCCATTTCACCTGCTGAAGGTGCAGAAGATAATGCTTTGCAATGTGCTGAAGAAGGGCGGGGGTCTGGTGATGCAATATGTGGTCCTTTATTTTTTTCGGATGATTCTCTCAAGGCATCTGGGGCTTTGATGCCTGGATCAAATGAGTCTGAGTCGGTAATTTTAAGTCGGATACATCATTCTCCTGAAAGTACACATTGAGACAATTTCTCTATGTTCTTTAATGCGTTTTGCGTAAAAGTTATTGTTTGCTTTCCCAATTTTTGTTGCTTCTCTTTTTATAAAGGAATAAAAGGAAATCTGCTCTTTGGTTCCTCTGGACAAGGGGTTTTGTGAGCCATTCATGTCATCTGCCAATTACAATTCCATGCTTTCTTCTCATCTTCTTCCAGCTTGCATTCATTGTGCTTCGATGATCACTTGTTTGACATCCCTACTAGAGGCCTGCATCAAATAATTAATCTTTCATGGACACAAGGTGAGAATTTTAAGTTGATTTGCTTTAAGATCTGACTGCACATGCATATCGAGTTTGTGATCACTTGCATCGGAACATTCTTGGGTGCTTTTCAGCATCAGTTTTTATACACGTCCTCGGAGAGCTCGGACGTGATATTGCAATGATTCTTGAAGCTGGTCAATGTCATGATATTCACCGTGTATTCTGCTAGTAGTAAAAAGTACCTGCATTTCCACTCGCTACGCACACAAGCTTTTCATGCCCATTATACGAGATGGTGAGTGGCTATGGAAAAGAGAAGTGTTTTCTTTGTTTTGCGCCCCCCTCTCAATCAAAATTGGTAGATTTAAAAAGGAAAAATCGAGGAAAAAGAGATACAAGGAGGGAAAACAAGCTATCCACCAGAATAATAATGCGCAGCAGCTGTGGTGGTTGGTTTTTGCTGCTGTGTTTGTTTTGTTAGCTATTAGTCTCATGGTTACTAAACCCATCTTTGCGGGTAGACTTGGTGACTGGATGATGTGATTCATGGATCAACTTGGTCAAAACCTAAATTGGTAAAATTTGATTAATGATTTTTTTTTTTTATATATTCAAATCAACATTGTTTAATTAAGAAACCTAATAAATACAGAATAAAATATTGTCCCACTAGACAAGTTATTATTATTATTATTATTATTATTTTGTAATCATCGGTGGAAGTAACTCAAAAACCATATTATTCGGCAAATATTGAGTTTTGACTTTTTTCTTTAGATGAAAAAGATTATTTTGGCAGGTTTGGTTAACGTCTGTGTTGGTTCTCTTGTTGGAACTAAGAAGCTCATGCAATTATGATACACTAAACTCCTCCAAAGGTCCCTCGTGCTTTATCCATGTTTATAATTAACCAACGACAAACATTGGAGACACAAATTTATTGACACTATTCATTAATGGCGTCTTTGCTTCTGTTAACAAAAATCAAATACAGTGCTAATTAATCATTATAGAATTGATTGAGGGTACGTGTTTCTTTAATCACATTAAAATCATCTAACTTTCTTTCAAATCAAACTAGCAAACAAGAATAGTGATGTCTTTTTTTTTAAATACAATAAAATGACTTTTACATTTAGAAAAAAATAAAAATAAAATTAAATCATATTTTTATAGATTTTTAGGTTTTTTGTACTCATTTACTTTTCTTATTAAGAGCATTTTAGTCTCTTAACAATATTTAATTATTAATTAAATTGAAAAAGTTATTCATACGTGTCATATTCAAGCCAATATGTGATTGTTGGTGTGTGCCATGTACATTTCTTGGTTGTAAAAAATGCCTTCCCACCATTTTATTAAAAAAGTTGCCGTGTTCTTTTTCTCATAGTGCAACATGTCAATGATCGTGGAGTGATTTGTCACCAATGAGGCATTCTTTTGTCTCTCATCCCTTGACAATAAAAGGTTGGTCTTTTTTATTGTTGTTATTTTAATTTTAGTTTTTTTTTTAATTTTTAATTTTATTCTTGGTTTTTTTATAAAAAATTTATTTATTTTTAATTTTTCCATCAATTCCAATTTTTACATATATTATATTTTTCAAGATGTTTGTTATTATTTTGATTTTTAATTTTTTTGTCCTTTATAAAATCTATACAAGTCAATCAATCCAAATTTATGATCCCTGTTCTTTTTATTTTTTTATTTTTGTTAAATTTATTTTTAATTTCAATTTCACCCTTCAATAAAAAAATTATTTTTAATTTTTATGTTAATTTTAATCTTTAATCTTTTGATTTTTTATCCTTTTGTTAAATTAATTTTTTTTTTAAAATTTCATCCTTCAGTCAAATATAAAATTTAATTTTAATTTTAATTTTAATTTTAATTTTTTAATTTTTAATTTTTAATCCTTTTGTATAATTAAAATTCTTTTTTTTTTATCTTTCAATATTTGATATGATGAAAATTGAGCTTTGTGTTTTTTTCATATAGGATACTTTGGGCTGATCAGAAATTTAAAAACTTAACATAGGTTGATATTTTTTAATAAAAAATAGGTTTTAAAATTCTATTTATTTTAATAGATAAAATTCTTGTGAAAAGTATATCAAAATTAAAAGGTATTTCATAAAATATTGATGCGTGGTGATATTGCAATCAATCACCATAAAAGGAAAGCTCACGTATTTATTTCTATCACGTATTTATTTCATAGAAAGTAATTTTTATAAAAAAATAAATTATTTTTAATATTTAGTAGTGTTATAAAAAACAAGTTGTAAAATAAATTTTAGTGTTTAGTTATATGATGTAGAATAAATTGAAAAATAATTTATTAATTTTTATTTTTTTCAAATTAGATAAGAGATGAAAACTAAATCTGACAAATAAAAAATCAAAGAGTAATGAAATTAAAAAAATTATTTTAAATAAAATTAACAATAAAAAAATAAAAAATAAAAATAATTGATAAAAAATAAAGGGATAATAAAATTAAAAATTTATTTTTAAATTATTTTAAATAAAATAAATAACAATAAAAAAATAATTAATTAATTATTTATTTTTTTCATTCACTTGGATTTGTCGAATTATACATCTTGTAGATTTACCCACGAGAATGCTATACGATGATGTGACAAGAGCAGGATTGTCGTTAGCAGTTGTAACAGAAATCCCAAAAGGAAAGGGTTTTGGTTTCTACTTGGAATGAAACTCCTTTCCTCTCCCTTTCCGTCATGGTTTCTACCTTGACGACGTGAACAAAAGCGGCTGTAAAAGCTTCTGACAAGGATTTACTCACAAATCAAATTCTATCCTGACAAGAATTTACATTAAGTACATTGCCCTCCCTCTTGTCTTTATAAATACTCCTGCAGGCTTCAAGTCTCAAACACAGGAAAAAAAAAACTTAGTCAACATGAAAAACATTGATTCTTCAACGTCCAGAATCGAAGAACGCGAGGAGGAGGTGGACTTTTTGTTTGTGACTGAAAAGGATTTGAAGGATGAAAATATCGATATCAATGCTAAGGTGACTGGCTTTGATGCTTTAGTGGCGGTTTGCCATATTGCTTATAAGAAACTCAAGCAAAAGAAGAGGGAGGAGAAACAGAAAGCGGGTGCAATATTGGGGGATGGAAACATAGACGGGCCGGTGAGGGAGAAAACTCTTAAAAATCCTGCTGATTACTTTGAATTAAAGAAGAAAGAAAGGTTTGCGGGAGAGAAGCTAATCAGTTCTGCTAAAAAGAGCGGTGGGACAAGTAACGGGGGAGGAATATTGAGGCGGAGATTTAATAAGGTGAATGAGCCTATGTCCGACCAGGTTCATGATGGCTTTGCTCCTAGGAAGAGAACTTCTGAGGAGAGGCCTTCTTGTTCTACGGAGAGCTATGAAAGGAATGGTTTTAGACAAGGACTTATGACTGGGGCTAGTGAGGGAGGATCGAACCAAGACATGTTTTCGAGAAAGGATACCGTATTCAAACGATCCCATGCTCACAGCATGCCAAATAAAAGATTGAAGGAGGAGATGCCAAACTGTGGTGTTGGCTCACTAGCAGAGTTGTTGCCTCATGAAGTCAAAGAAAGAATTGCTTCTATGAAAGGCAAAGATGTGGAGTTAGTGGTGGACAAACAGTTGTATGCAACTGACATGGAAGATGGCAACAGTCGTCTGTCGATCCCTCTTAGACAAGTTATAGCTAAGAATTTCTTGTCAGATGAAGAGAAGGGGGCTCTTATAGATGGTAATTGTCTGAAAGTGAAGATACTTGAACCCTCTTTGGAAATGGTTAGTGACATGAATCTCAAGCAATGGAATATGTTTAAGGAGAAGGGCAGTGTTAGTTCATCATATGTTTTCATAACTCATTGGAATACTCTAAGGAGAAGAAGTAATTTGCATTTGCGAGACAGAATTCAGGTTTGGTCTTTCCGAGTAGAAAACGACCTCTACTTTGCTCTTGTTAAGGTTGGTGAAAGATAAGAAGAACGAAATTGTTCTAACAGAAGCAATACCGGTTCATCAACTGGTAGCCATGCTGGTGTGGTTGAATATGCGAGTCCTAGTTTTAAGAGAAGGATTAGAAGATGGTGGCAGCAGCGGCCGTAGTCAGAAAGGAGAAGAAGATCCACCGTATTCTGCTAGTCAGCCTGAAGATGTTGATTAACAACCCAGTCTACTCACACCCATGATGGGAAGCTTGTTCTTCATCACTTTATTTCTGATTTCCTTGTTTTTTCCTTATGATCTTTATAGTAATTAATAAAGAGCAATTGTTAAAGTCGGATTATGGTGCAAAGTTTTCAGATTTAAATGCTTCCAATTTATCATTGCCTTCACGACTAATAGAATGACACACTTGTTAAATTTGGTATACCCGTAGTAACTTTATCCAGTTGATTAGATTAAATTTTTAATAACTTGATTAATCTAAGTAAAATAAACATTAAAACTTTTTTAAAAATTGAAACCATTAACTAAAAAGCTAAAACGTCTAGGCTAAATACTATTGAGTCGACACTGTTTATATTCTTAAAAAATATTATAGATATATTGTTTATTATTTAATAACTCATTTTGGTTCTCAAAATTTTATTTATAACAATTTAATTTTGATTAAAGATCACTTGTTTTTTTATTTTTTAGGTAAGTGTGAAATTGAAAGACATGAAAAAAATACCAAACATAAATATTGTGCTAAAATAATTTTAAAAATACATGAATTTTAAAAATAATATAAATTATATAATTTAGGTCCTTGAGATTTCACAAAAACATAATTTTGGTATCATGTAATTAACATCACCCAAAACATGAGAGAAAAACACAGAAACGCAAATGTTTAAAAAATCTACAAACAAGAATAAAATACTATTGAGTATAATCGTGAAATCTCCAAGACCAATTATTATATAGCTTATTCATCCATTTAACCATAACAGTCAAATCAAATTCAAGGAAGAACTTACCACTAATAAAACCATCAGCCAAAATGGTTAAACTCCATTGTATAATCGCTCAACACTACTTATACACATTGATCTACATTCCCAGTTGAGTCTATGTGCTTCAAACTTCAACATGAAATTCCTTCTTCGTTTTTCAATTTCGAGTACTATCAGAACCAACATTGTATAGCATTCCTTCTTGGATAAACCATTGTTGCTGATGGATTTTTAATGGGCTTCCTATCTGAACCAATAACTCGATGGCACATGTCTATCCTACAACGCAAGAGACTAAATTAACATCCACTTAATGCATGCTTATCCTGTCTACATAATTTCCTTTTTAATTACTCCATTGCCTCGGTCAGAAATAGGATATGACTAGTGCTAATTGTTTTTGGGTATAAAAAAATATTCAAAAACACTAATATCTAATAGTGTTAAGTTAATTTGTAAAGTTAGATATAAAAACCTTGCATCTGATTATAATTTTTCATTTAAGAGTAATATTTTTAATATAAATAATAATATTCAAATTGTCTTACCTAAGTTTTTATAGTTTTTTATTTTTAAAATTAAATTTATTATTTTTTTTTAGTAATAATATATTTTTTAAAAACTTATTAATGATAACGATAATGATAATGATAACAATAATAATAACAATAAAAATAATACTAATAATTATAAACTTAAGTTTGGTGACCCAGTCGAACCCAAGTTTCTAGCGTCTAATTTCTCCTAATAATAATAATAATAAATTTTTTAATCCAATTTTTTATAGTTTTTACTCTATTTAAATCAAATTTATAGTTTCTTTCAGTAGTAATAATTTTTTTTAAATTTAATAAAAATAAAAATAGTACCAATATTTAATAAAAATAACAACGATGACGACGATAACAACAACAACAATAATTTTTAATTTTACCCTTCAAATCAAATATATGGTTTTTTTAATAGTAATAATAATAATAATAATAATAATAATAATAATAATTATAATAATAAACATGCCTGACCCAAGTTTGTATAGTTTTTCATTTTACCCTTCAAATTAAATCTATGGTTGTTTGTCAATATTAACAATATTTTTCTCAAATTTATTAATTATTATATTAGCAATATAATAATAATATTATTATTGTTATTATTATTATCATTATTATTTTCAATATTAATAATTATATTAAACTTGCATGATTTAAGTTTAAGTACATATGACTACAACACCAAGCCAGAAAGCCTTGAGTCTGGCTATAACATAAGATCCAAAAGCCTTGGATGTGAGTTTGGCTACGAGGCCGTGTCATGAAAGTGTAATAACTAAATAGAAAAAAATTTAATATTAAATAATGAAATCAAAACTAAAAAAATTTATTGAAAAGGAAAAAACAAAGAACAAAATCTCCTCATGAAATCACAATAATCTAATGAAAAATAAATAAAACAAATAATGAAGTTTAATTCTCAATCAAATTGATATTAAAAGATAAAATCGAAAGGAAAAAAGTAATTAAAAAAAATTAAATCAATTTAAAATTAGGTTTCAAACCTAAGATTCGTGTTGTGAGAATATGATAACTAAATATTTTTTTAATATTAACGAATTAAATCAAACAAAAAAAAGATTAATTAAAATGAAAAAAACAATCAAAAATAATTCTGTTTGTTTGCAGGAAAGTTGTTTCCTTTTGGAAAGTGAATTCCGGGAAAGTGAATTTTAGGGAAAATAAATTCCTGAAAAGTAAAGTATTTTTGAATGTTTGGTAGTGTTATGGAAATGAACTGGAAAACACTTTCCAGTGTTTGGTTATATCATGGAAAATGAACTGGAAAATAATTTATTTTTCTCAAGTTTATTAAAATAATAAGGAATAAATCTTACAAATTAAAAAGTTGAATAATAATGAAATTGAAAAAAAAATTTCATAAATTATCTCAAATAAAATAAATAATAATCAAAATAATAAAGATCAAATCTAAAAAAAAAAGATGAAGAAATTAAAATAATAATAATTAACATTTCATAAAGTATTTCAAATAAAATAAATAACAATCAAAAGAATGAGGACCAAATTTGATAGAAAAAAATTTCAATAAAAAACTAATAGGAGAAAAGCAAATAACAATTATAAAAATGAGGACCAAAGTAAATATAAAAATTAAATTTTAAGAAATGAAATTGAAAAATAAATATTCAAAACAAAATATATATAACAATCAAAAGTCTGAGGATCAAATTTGATATAATCAGCAAATAATGACATTTCTAAACTTTTCACAACTTCCGGAAAGTGTTTTCCTCCCAAATTTTTCAGGAAAACACTTTCCTGAAAATCAAGCCAAATTTTCCTTTAACTGGAAAGTGTTTTCCGTTTATCAACTTTTCTAACAACAAATAAACACAAGAAAGTTTGGAAAGTGATTTCCCAGAAATCACTTTCTGCAAAACAAATACAAGAAAGTTTGGAAAGTGTTTTCCCGGAAACCACTTTCCGGAAAATAAACACAGCTAAAAAGGAAAATACTTTCCTGAAAATTAAGCAAAATTTTTTTTTTGACTAAAAAATATTTTCGTTGACCAGAAACTGTTTTCCGTTGACTGGAAAGTGTTTTTTGTTGACCGGAAAATGTTTTCCGTTGACCAACTTTCCTAATGACAAACAAACACAGGAAAATTTGGAAAGTGGTTTTCCGAAAACTATTTTCCAGGAAACAAACATAGCCTAGAAGCATCACCTTTTTCACTATGGATTGTATAACACAATCTATAATAAAAGGCTAATCTTCTTTAGTTATAGTTAATTATACGTTCTTTTGATGAGTTAAGCTATAATTGTTTTTTGATGAGTTAAGCTATAATTTTTTCTTAAATAATTTTTAAATTCATGTTTCACTTCTCTTTATGATTTTTTTATTTAATGAAATTTATGTTTCAATTAATATCACTTCTCTTTATGATTTTTTTATTTAATTTTTTTAGGTAAAGTTTTGTTTAATAATGTTATGTGTATTTTCACATAATAATTTTTTTTTAATATCATCGCCTTAAGTTATTTGACATTATTTAATGTTTTAAAATTTGTTTCTCTTAGATTGCTTTGTCATATGCAAAGTGTTTGAGGAAATTCTTATATTGAAGTAGAAATCAATCTTATAAAATAGAATCTAAAATTGTAGAATTTTTTTGAAAGAATAAGGATTACAATAAACAAATAAAAAAATAAAGCCCTTTTATTTTCATACTAAAAACTTTAGTTTGGTTCCTTAAGTTTTAATTTAAGTGTATTTGATCTTTTTAGTTTGAATATTTATATTTTGATCATAAACTTTAATTGTTGCACAATTTAAACTGTAGGAATTGAGAGAAAAGAAAAAAAAATTGTCAAAAAACAGGGACGTGAGAGAGCTTCTTAACTGCTACATTCTAATCACATAAAAGGATGAAAATCTTGGTATCATTGAGTTTGTATTAAAGAGGAGTATTGTGAATATAGCATGGAACTTTAATCTACAAAAAAATTAGATCAAAGCTTAGCAAGGTTCTTTTTTATTTTGTTTGATTTTGAGTTTTTTTGTTTATAATTAAAGAGTGTTTTCATGTGGGAAATGAGTTTATCTAGCATCCTAAGACCTTTTGAAGTATTTTCAAGTGAAAACAAGTTAAAAATATTTTGGAAGTTTATTGTGATCCAAGCATTAAAGGATTCATTGAAGGTTCCGGTCAGTCTAGTTATAAGATTTAGAGCTAAGAGATTCTAAAAGGCTTTCAATATATCAATCTTATTCATATTCAAGAGAGGCTTGTTAGTGGAACTAAGACTATTACACAAGGATTAAGAAAAGAATACTAGATTCGGACAGTTTAACCTTTCATTACTTTTTTTTTTTATAATAACTGGAGCTACATGTTGAATTTTAAGGTGATTTCAATTGGGATGGAAACTAGATTTCCATACCTTTCCAATGATATATGACATATATTCTAATTCTTTAAATTATATTTTTTTGAATTTGAACTATATTGCTGAATTTTAGAATCATTTGTTTGAATTTGAACTATATTGCTGCTAGATAGAATATAAAAATAACCGAACTTGTCTTAGAAAATTAGTTGGGCTATTAAACTTTCTTTATTTTATGAGAAAAAACTTGTTTGAATTTTGAACTTGTTTTTTTTTTAGTTAGTTTGGGCTATTTGTAACTTGGATTTTGAACTTGTTTTTTTTATTTATTTTAGTTAGTTTGGGCTATTTGTAACTTGGATTGATTATTATTTAAATTGAATTTATAAGTGACTCATTAGGAAAACTAGGGTTTTTGGCCTGGGGTATAAATACTCTTGAAAATAATTTTTAGCACACTTTTTTTTGGCTAATAATATTCTGATTTTTGCCTACTATCAGTTGTTAACCTTGGTTCTTAATTGAACTTTTAACTCTTCAAAGAGTTGACTAATCTTTGTTATGAATTTATACTCCTTTTGCTTATATCCAAGTGTAGATGTTGTGATTGAGTTAGTTTATAGTCTAGTTGCCTTGAAGCATGTCTTTCATTGTGTTAAACTCATTCTAATTTTTGCAAAATTGAGTTAGATAGATCTTGGGTTCGCAAATTCTATTCAATTCCATTAGGGTGCACATCAAAGTCCCAAAACTTGAACCTTGAATTTCTAGTCATTGAAGGTTGTATTAGAAACTTATTTCATTTCAACATTCAACAAGTTTACATCATTATCATTGTCCAATCATCTTGGAATCATCATAACATCAAATCAAAGTATGTCAAATCTTAATTTTTTCAAATCTCATTCATCACAAATAATCATTTCATATAAAATTTGCATAACACAATATTCACATGCAATAATAATTTTGACACAATAAAAAAATTAATACAATATCATAAGTTTACATAAAAAATCTAATTAAAGCAACATAAACTTTGATACAATTATTATTTGTTACATAACCCATTACAATTCAACATGGTTTCTATTACATGTTCATTCCAAATTAACAAGAGCTATACCAAATATTTATCATTAGGCTCGTGGTTGTGAGATACCTATAACTAATTTATCACAATAAAAAATAATGTTATCCGTAAAAATTACAAACAAGAAGAACAACCATTATATTGCATTTAAATCATAGTTTTTAAACCCGGCCCGGTGGCTGACCCGGTCCAAGGCCCGGGTTACGGGTTTTGACCGGGTCACTGGGTTTTGACCGGGTCGAATGGGTCGGCCGGGTCAATTTCTATTTTAAAAAAAATTCAAAACGACGTCGTTTTAATAAAAAAATAAATAAAAGTCAACGGGTTACCACCGGGTTTTGCCGGGTCGTCCGGGTTTCCGGGTCAACCCACCGGGTCGGCCAGGTCACGCCGGGTCATGGCTTACCTTATTTTTTCATCAACCCGGCCCGGTTCCAGCCCC